AACTAGTGCAACCTCTTTGGAAGACAGTGTGGTGATTTCTGAAAGAACTAGATATTGACCTTCCATACGACCCAGGAATTCCCCTATTGGGAATATACCCGGAGGAACTCAAATCATTTACAAAAAAGACACCCGCACACGAATGTTTGTTGCAGCCCTATTCACAATAACAAAAACATGGAACCAACTATGTTGCCCATTGAAGTTGGACTGGATTAAAAAAATGTGATACATATACACAATGAAATATCATGCAGCCATAAAGAAGAACAAACATACGGACTTTGCAGCAACTTGGATGGATTTAGAGTTGATCATACTCAGCACTGTCACAGAAACAAAGAATAGAGTTTTCACTCATAAGCAGACCTTGAACAATTATTATAATACTATAAAAAAGGGATTGGCAGTAATGGGAAACTGTCAGGGGAGGGAGATGGGATTGGCCATTGAGGGCAACTGCTAGGGAAAGAGGACATACCTCGTCAACAAGGGTACCCGCATAATCAATGTATGTATACCTAACCCTGAATTATACCCAACATCTTTATAATTAAAAAAAAAAAAAAGAAGAAAGAGGCCAGTGTGAACTCCCTTGCCATTTTTACCTTGTAATGACACAGCAAGAGGCATATTTATGAAGCAGTGAGCCCTCACCAGATACTAAATCTGCAGTTGTCATCTTCTTTCTTTTTTTTCAGCTTATGAATGAGAACATATGGTACTCTGTTCTTTGTTTCTGTGACAGATCACTGAGTATGATCGTTTCTAAATCCACCCAAGTTGCTGTGAAATCCATGTTTGTCCTTCTTTATGGCTGCATAATATTCCATTGTGTATACATTTCACATTTTTTAAAATCCAGTCCAGCTTCAGTGGGCAGCATGGTTGGTTCCATGTTTTTGCTATTATGAATAGAGCTGCAACAAACATACGTGTGCAGGTATCTTTTTTGAAGAATGATTTGAGTTCCTCCAGGCATATTCCCAATAGGGTAATTGCTGGGTCATATGGAAGGTCAATTTCTAGTTCTTTCAGAAATTGCCACACTGTCTTCCAAAGAGGTTGCACTAGTTTGCATTCTCACCAACAGTGTAGAAGCATTCCTTTTTCTCCACATCCTTGCCAGCATCTATTGTTTGCCTTATTTTTATTTTTATTTTTTTTGAGTTGGAGTCTCACTCTGTCGCCCAGACTGGAGTGCAGTGGCCGCTCCTGGCCACCGCAACCTCGACCTGCTGGGCTCTGGCGATCCTTCCACCTCAGCCTTCCAAGTAGCTGGAACTACAGGCGTGCGCTACCACACCCGGCTGATTTTTGATTTATTGTAGAGATGAGGTCTCACCTGCCCAGGCAGGTCTCAAACCCGCAGGCTCAGACAATCCACTCACCTCAGCCTCCCAAAGGCGCGGGGGGTTACAGGCTGAGCCACCGAGCCCAGCTTGTTTGCTTTATTAATGATGACCATTCATACTGGGTTTAGGTGATATCTCAATGTGGTTTTGATTTGCATTTCTCTGATGAGTGAGGCTGAGCACTTTTTCATGTGTCTGTTCGCTACCCATATATCTTCTTTTGAGAAGTGTCTATTCATGTATTTTGCACACTTTTTAATGGGGCTGTTTGTTTTTTTCCTTTCGGCATGTTTGAGTTCCTTGTAGATCCTAGATGTTAGGCCTTTGTCAGATACACAGCTGGCAAATATTTTTTCCAATTCTGTGGGCTGTCTCCCTGCTCTCTTGATGATTTCTTTTGCTTTGCAGAAGCTTGTCGGTTTGATGAGGTCCCCCACTTTCTAACTTATTTCTTACGGTTGGGCACTTAGGGTTCTGATCAGGAATTGGTTGCCAATTCCAATTTCCATATCTCCTTCTGCAGGAGTCTTGATCTGGACTTCCCACTCTTCCGAACTGTAAGCAATAAAATTTTTCTTATTTATAAATTACCCTATCTAAGGTACTCAGTTACAGCAGCCTAAACTAAGACACATATGAACATATATGTATATATGAACTACTAAATAACAATTTAAAACAATCTAAGAGATATCACAAGATAGGCATATAATTAACGGCTACATTAACCACTATTTCTCCAATCTGACAGTTCATCAAAAGCTGAAGGATGGCAAAACATACAGTTCCTCTATAGTTTCCCCTTTCAGTATACCTGGCATGAAACCTGGGAATCTGTTTTTAAAGCTCTTTGGGTAGAAGATGTCAAACTCTGTAAAATATTTTAAGATGGTTTATTCTAAACCAAACTTGAGGACTTAGGCCTGGGAACACCCACCCATCCTCAGCAGGTCCTGAGAACATGTGTCCACAATAGTTAAATTGTGGTTTGGTTATACGCATTCTACGATGGCAGAAATTACAAAAAACCAAAAGCATCATCCCAGAGTTTTGGATTCAGTCTGCATTTCTAACAAGTTTCCAGGTGATGCTGATGCTGCCGGCTCAGAGACCATTCTTTGCAAACCACTGCTTTAGGACAATGGTTCTTACCATAAAAACACATTAGAATCACTAGAGAGCTTTTAAAAAGAAACACACTGGGAAAGAACCTGATTCATCTGTTATAGGGATGAGGCCTAGCCACTTGTAAATTTTAAATTTCCCTAAGTGATTTGAAATGTGCATCCAGGGATAAGAAACACAGTCAAGGTTTAGAGGAATGGCCAAGTTTGTTTACTTCTTGTGGCTTTTGCACTAGCTGCTTTTATTACCCGGTATGTTCTTCTTCTAGGTCTTTCCATGGATCCTTTTTGTAATTTAGGACTCAGATTAAATCAGGGAAGGCCTCAGACAGGCCTTCCCTGATTCCCTGCAATCTAAAATATTGCCCCTGTCTTTATCACGCCACCCAGTTCATTTTCATTACAGGAATTAGCAGTTCCTACGATTCCCCTATTTATGCTTATTGCTTTATCTTTCAACTGTGAAGTAAGCATACTGAGTACAAGCACCTCATCCGAAACTCCTGGCCCCAAGTACTCCTCCCAAGCTGCCCCAGAAGTGCTAAGAGTACAGGCCTAAGGCACTTCATTTTATTCAGTGCTGTATCCCCAGCACCTAGAACAATACCTGACACCTATAGGTGTTCAACATGTGAATAAAAGGGAGAAAAAAACCCTTTAAATACTTTTAGTTCTTCTGCTATTTTCTTTTTTTTTGAGTTGGAGTCTCAGTCTGTCACTAGACTGGAGCGCAGTGGCCACTCTCGGCCACTGCTGCCTCGACCTGCTGGACTCCGACGATCCTTCCGCCTCAGCCTTCCAAGTAGCTGGAACTACAGGCGCGCGTTACCACGCCTGGCTAATTTTTGATTTATTGTAGAGGTGAAGTCTCGCCAAGTTGCCCAGGTGGGTCTCGAACCCGCGGGCTCAGGCAATCCACTCACCTCAGCCTCCCAAAGGCGGGGGATTACAAGCTGAGCCACCGAGCCCGCCTCTTCTGCTATTTTCAACAGGATCTTACTAAAATGAGTTTTGTTGGCGCAATAGGATTGAACCATTCATAAAAAAAGCACAAATTGATCTTTTGTAAATATATCCTAACTGCACTGGGTTTATTCTCACAGAAACCCTATATTAAATCTGCAAAGTAATTATCCCTTAATATATTTTCATATTTTTCACAATGTTTCCTAGGGAAGGCAGCTCACACAGTAGGGCAGCTAGGTATGGCTAGGAAATATGTATTAAATCAAGGGATTGCTGCTTAGATTTTGTCTATGAAAACAGACAATTCTAGAAGAGTAGAAAGTTATTGCAGGCAGAAAGTCACAGGAAAATGTTAGGGCTCTGATTCCTTCTGTAAGAGGGACACATTATCCTCTCCTTTTGCGGGGGCACCTCTTTAACAAATGAATGCAATCTGGAGGAAGCGAGGAGTTTTAGTTTCAGGTGGAGATAGAGTACTTGAGATTATTAAAGTGTCTCGTTTCACAGAGGTTTGTTCACTGCGGCAAAATCTTCAAGCTGTCTGTTGCTTGACTTTAGGGAGACAACTGAGTCAAACCGCGGATGCCCTTAATCACTCGCGAGCCACTTCTGAAACACATTACCTATGAAAACATATGAAAACACAGAACATAACATCAGTTGCAGGGGGCGGGAACACAAGGGAGATTCCGAGTCCTGGCCCGTCTCTTTGGCAGGGACGTGAGTACTTCCTCAAAAAGTCCCAAGTATCCAACCTTCGCCCCCAGCCATAGAGCTGGGTTCACGAGCAACCAGTTTTTCAGGCAGCTGCCTCCCCTTTCCTCCCCCGGCGAACTTCGTCCAGGGCAGCTGGAAACAAAACGACTCTGTGTACGGAGTAATGCTTGAAATCTCACTGGCGCTTCAACAGGAGGGGCAGCCCACTCCGCAAGCTCAGGGAACACCAGCCCACGGTCAGTAGCCAGAAGCGGTGGCTAGAGAAAGACCAAAGGCAGGGGGGGCGAGAGGGAAAAGAAACCCAAGACCGCGGTGCATTCTGGGAGTTGTAGTCCCTTCGGGGCGGCGCCCTCCGGCCTCCACGGGCTCCGCACTCCATCTCCCAGCTGCCCTCGCGACGCGGAGGCGGCGAGCGGAGGGGGGCGCTCGGTGATGAGCTGCCACCGGGGGAGGGGGCCTGTGGCTAAGCAGCAGCTGCGGCTGCCGCCGGGAGACGCTGACGTCTGGCGTCCCTAGGGGCTCGGGGACCGTTGGGCTGGCGGCCACGAGGACCGTGTGGCCGCCGCGTGTCCCGTGCTCGCCCTCCTCCCTCCCCGCAGGCGCACGGCGTCTGCCATGGAAGCGCATCCGGCCGCCGCCGGGGTCTCCGGGCGCCGCGGCCCCGGCTCCCCCGAGCGATGAGGGGGT